GAACCAAATCTAGGGAACGCATTTACAGAGGCATGCATATGGGGTTGCGGGAGACCGCTCTAGCTGCGGAAGGCCGGATTTCCGATGTCCTTGTGTTCTATACACAATGATTCAAGGTAAAACTGACTTGCGGAAGACCTGTCCACGCTGCTTATCGACTTGCTCTGACAAAGAAGGCACACCGATACGGACAGACTGCAGCTGTTTAATCTCCAGGAAGGCGGTTCAAGGGAGTCACTTGATGTAGATCTGTTGGACCGATTTTTAACTTTTTGAAGAGTGAGACGGATGTTGTCAGTAGAATTGCAGACTTTAATATCACGAGCTGGATCAAGTAAGACTTGTTGCTACGATAAGTGACAACTTCCAGGCATGTCTGTGTCACCAAACTTCTCCTTAATCGCCGCTTCTAAACCTTGCTAGGATCTAACAGTCTTCGCAGCCAAGCGTCATCTCGCTGCTCGTCCTGGGTCCACAAGTGAGGGATGATGACGGTTCGAGACAAACTTGACGAAATATCGTCCAGCAATGTAATCACAGTCCACCCCAACCACCGCGTTCAAGCCGCGTTGACTTGCCATGACGCTGCTCATGTAACTTTGCCTCGTTAATTCCGGAGGTTGGCAGGTATATGGTTGTAACGACTTCAGGAAGCAGTCCAAGTGGATTGTGCCTGCCTACGTTGTCATCAATGTACCTCTGTCTGATCAAGGCTATGAGAAAGCCGATGCGTCTCCGAACAACAATCGAGGTAGTAATATGATTTCTTTCGCCTGACGCTTGTCGACATTCACTCAGGATGTGTCACCAGACCTGCGCTTTCTGTCTCGCAGTTCCTGCTTAGGACACACGGCCAGAAAATGGAATCCAGAAGGCTAAGATGCCCACGTTTAGCGACGAAGATACGATAGCAAGGACGCGGATGATCACCGAGCTTGATCTGGCAAGAACCAAGGAGGCTTGCCCGACAGGATGCAATGCATTGTGCTCAGGACCCTGATTGGGGCCTCTATGCCAGACGAGTTGCTACTGTTTGCCTGTCAAATTTTGAGCTTGGCTGTGCCGTAAAGAAGTGTGTTGTCCGTTGAAGCAAGGCGGAGGCGAAACCTGCCTTAATACACCAGCCTGGATCTCGGTGCTTACCGGCAGGCTATTGCGCCCAAGGATGACACACGACACCTTGTCCACAGAGCTACCGCCGCCCTGAGACCTCGACAGACTTTTGCCCGGGCTGCTTGATGGACTTGCTCTTTCTAAACGCATGCAGCTAATTTGGTCTTTCCCGTAGATGACTTCCCGAAGAACTCGCATGCTGAGAACAATCAAGGCGTCCTGGCTCGTCAAGGCCATAGATGGGTCAAGGAAACGAGACGGCTTAGGCCAAAGATCTACCTATCATCACCCGCACGATAGCAAGAGCAGCAACTACGAACGGGGAGCACATCGAGTCGAAGTCGAGAGCGGCCCTGCATGGACTACCTGGAATCCTACCTCCTACAGCAGCTAGTGATTCTACGGTCAAGATGATTCACTGTGTCGGACTGGTCGGCGAGGCCTCACTCACACGCAGAGAGAGAGATCTCAAGAGTCAGATGACCAACTGCGTTTTACCAACGTATTGTCGACGCGTGTTGCTGCTGCAGGACATTGAGTGGGGACACGCAGACCGTGCGGTCGAATCGGCGGGACGGACCCCTGTGGCAGCGTGCCGGCGCATCAGCCGGTAGATCTCAGGGATAGCTGGCGTCCAGGCGGGCGAGCGAGTTGCTCCTGGGGAACGCAAATCGAGACACGGTGTACTTGTGAGGATCCGCCGCCTCACGCGGCGTCTGGCCAAGAGGGTGCTGGGCGTACGAAGTCAGGCTGGATGGCAGCACGGGCGAATAGCTCATTCATATGGATCGTAAGAGCGAGAGAAGGGCCAGCCAGGGGGAGCTGTTTGACTTTTCGGAGGCACAACTCGGGGATAGCGCCAATACCAGGATTGGACTGCTGGAATGGTTTAGCGCCATCGACCATGCTGGATACTGTTGAACGTTTCCGTTGCGTGATCTGTCCCCGACGCCCCTGGTCAGCGCCGGTCCCCCTTTTAGGTTGTGACCTGGCATCAGCAATCAAAGCCTCTTTCCGGGGGGGGGGGGGGGGAGTCCCAACACGCTCCGCAGCAGTCCATAGATCTTTTTTCTCAAGACCTGTCGTGTTCAGGCTTCAAACCTGTCAACTGCCTCAAGGCCTAGGGCTGCTCGGAGCTCCTGAAGTTCGAACCACCCGACGTCATGGCGCCCTCGGGCCAAGGGCGTGCCGCGCAGAATGCATTGTCTCTTCCCCGCACTTGGATCATCTCACTGCATTTGTCACCGCCCCTCTTCAAACGCCGACAATGCTGACTGGTTCGCAACATCTCAAAATCATCAGTTTCGAGTAGCAAATCCCGAAGGGCGGGCCACTAGGACTGAAGCGAGTGAGAGCGCGACTGACCGTGGTTGAGGTGGGTAAGACGCCCTTGGACCGACATTGAGGTGGAGGGGCGAAAACCCTATCGAGGTTCATTGGAGCCATCAACGGGTATAAGTAGTCGCCCGGCCTGAGAACCTGGATGTCTGGTCTGTGTACCGATCAAAGACAGACAAATCGGATATATAGACAGACAACATGACGACCAAGGGAAGCTGTGCGTGCGGGGCTATCGCCTACCAATTCGAGGGTGCGTCATCGATGATCGTCTCTGACAAGAAACCAAAGCTGACCGACTCGAACTCTGCAGGCGAAGTAGCGACCAAGGCTCTTTGCCACTGCACCGATGTCAAAAGGTTCTTTTCATACCTCTGTTTATCTTCTACTAATATTCTATTTTTTGGTAGATTTTTTTAATGGAAATTTTTTTTTATTGTTATTTTTCTTTTTTTTTTTTTTTTCTTTTTTGTTAGTCTTTTCTTTTCAAAGTAAATGTGGAGTGTTCCGTTTTTTTTTT